CCCCTCCCTTCCATCCCAGTTCAGCAGCTTTGGCCCCCAGCTGGCATGGGGGGGTGGGGCTGACTAGAAGGAGGTGAGTGGGTGGGGGACTGGCTTTGACCCTCTGAGAGACAGAGTGTAGGCTTGGTAGTCACTTCCCTTGGGTTGGGATCCTGGCTCCGCCAATTACTAGCTCAGGTGAGTTACTTTATGCTTCTGAGGCTCAGTTTCTTCCTCTGTTAAATGAATAGCACCAACCTCCCCGGTGATATGGGAGTTGTCTGGGCTGATCCCCATAAAGGACTCAGAACAGCACCTGGGGGGGGAGAGAGCACTATGTAAACGCTAAGGGCTCTTCCTCTGGCTACAAATTCATTTTGTGTGGGAGAAAGAGCAAACTCTGGAGGCTCCAGAGAATACAGTGATGAAACTGGCCTCTGCGGCAGAGGCAAAAAGACAGCTTTTGTGGAAAGGCCTGGGGACAGCAGTCGGAGTTTCTGAGAGGAAGCTGGGGCACTCCTACAACCCCCTCCCCAGGGCCCCCAAATGTCTAACCCCCACCCCCAGGAATCCAGCCCTTAGGCCCAGCAATTCCCTAGTCAGCACCCCCAAAGAAGTGTTGTCAGAGGAGACATCAGCTTAGGGAACTGCCAGGGACTTGCTTCTGCTTCACTCTCAAGAAGCAGGGAAGCTAGGGCGGAGGTGGTCCTTTGGCTCCCAGGGGCCAGGACCCCGGGCAACCATCCTCCATCTGCTTGTTCCTAGAGAAGATGCTCTATGAGTGCTGCCTTCCCACAAGGGCAGATCCAACTTTCGATTTACCCCCCAACTTTCTATCTTTAAAAAAAAAGATTTATTTATATATGCATACAAGAACCAGAGTATAGGCCAGAGGTGCAGGGGGCAGGGTATGTGTGTGAGAGGATTCACCTGAGGGGAGCAGCAGTCAGGACAGGAGAGGTCCGCTGCGCCATGTGGGTCAGCTCCCTGACCAGGGATTGAACTCTTGCTGCGGCGGCTGTGGACAGCTTCACAGTGCTGCCCTTCAACCTCTTGCCCCAGGGGGGCGGCCCAGGATCCAACTTTCTGGTTAGAGTCCTGGGCGCTTTTCACCTCTCGCCTTTGCCTCAGGCCTGCCTGAGCTGATCTCCAGCAGTTACCTGTGTGGCTTAGGGAGTGAAGAGTAACAGGTCGGGAGCACCCATTGCTCCTGCAAACTGCACATTGGATGGAGGGGGGGGGGCGCTAAAGCCAGGGAAAGGAGGGAGAGGCAGGGGACCTCAGGGCGCTCTTGCCAGCTTGCTGACTTTTCCCAGAGCCTGATCGCCTGCTGGCAGCCTTGCTGGCAGGCAGCGGCCTCCAGGGCCTCGTTAAGCCATGGGTAGAAAAACAATCCCAGGCTCTGGAGGGGAGAAGGCAGGGGGAGAAGTGCGTGTAGAGCCTGGAGGGCCAGAGTCTGTTTTGTCCCAACTTCTAGGACTGGCTGCAAGAAAGGAAGGCGGGAGGCAGAAAGGCTGAGCAAGCAGTTTTTTGCTCCTGGACAGCAGCTGAGACGGAGCCCCTAGATTGGGGTCCGCAGCTACTGCCATCCCTATGGGGGTAAGGGTCTCTTAAATAGATTCTAAACTCATATTCCAAAAGGGTGACTCATCGCTGTGTCCCTTGATATAAGGCCCAGTTTGTGATCCCCTTCCTCTAGTCCCATCCCAGAAGCAAGGCCCGTTAATTGGATGCAAGGCCCAGTTTATTATTGCCCTTATCCAGTCCCTCAGTAAATCTCTGCAGTTGGTCACTCCCAACAGAGTCATTTTTATGCAAGCACTCATTGAGTACCTACTGTATGCTGAGCAAAGTCCAAGGACATAAAGATGAATGAGACCTGACCTCAACAGTTCTCTAGGCAAAGAGGGGGGAAATCCACAGTATCTGAGAAGCTTGACAAAGCCCCTGCTTGGTGTGTGAATGAAGAGTACAAAGTAGTCAGTGAGGGCTTCCTGGAGGAGGTAAGCCCTGCATCAACTGTAAGATACACACGAGATCCCAGGCTTAAGATCACAACCACTCTCCCGAACAAAGTGTTGAGCCTGGCCTAGAGAGGAGTGAGAAGGAGGAATTTCAGGAAGGGGGTGAGCAGGAGCAGAGGCAAGGACAGGAGACAGAGCCCAGCAGAGCAGCAGCAGGGGACAGGGCCAGATGAGCAGAGTGGGGAGAGAGAAGGCTGAAGACGGAGGTGGTGGTCACCTAAAAATACCTGGGCGCTACCATCTACGCCGGGAGACGGGTGAGGGTTCTGACTGCTTGTAAGCAGCAGAGTAACGTGGCCAGTCTGATGTTTTACGCTGGTGCTTCCTGAACTTGAATGGGCCTGAGTCATCAGGGGAGCTGGATTCAGTAGGTTGCAAGTCTGTGTTTCGAACAGGCTGCCAAGGAACATGCAAGCTGCTGGTGTGACACTTGGGGCGTGTTTCAGGTGGCCGCTGGCTCCCAGGGCGTGCCTGGGAGGCATGGGTACTGCCGCCTGGTTCTTGGGGACACAGGGCGGATTCCAGTGCCTGGGGAGAGCTACGGAAGCCTGGAACCAAGGTGTAGTGGAAAGGAGGCCGTGACCTGGATGGCTGGTGCCTGCTGGTGGTGGCTGAGGGGCTTCCTGGTGGAGGCAGGAGTGGGGCTGTGGCCTCTGGGCTGGGGCAACCCCCCCCCCCATGGGAGCCATGAAGCATATGCATATGGAGACTTCCATCAAACAAGTCTTTCCAGGTCTCCCCAAATCTGGCTCTAGTGGTGGCTAGTCCAGAGGTGGGCCTGAGTCCAAAATCACAACACAGGAGGAAGCATTAACAGGAGGCCTGAGAGCTGCTGCCCATAAAGGCAAATCAGAGATGTTCATCTACAAATGAAGCGCTCAAATCCTCCCCCGCACAAGGCAGGATCTCCTTAAATAGCAGCCAAGTCAGGGGAGCCAAGGATTTATTAGGAGGTCAAGCTAAAGCAAATGTATGATGAATTTTAGGTTCTATTTGTTTAGATCTATGAATATAAAACTCTCACAGTAAAAGGAGAGATGTGCTATACATTCAGAGGGCACAGGTGGCAGGTAGGACGAGTGGACGGGTGGTCACAGGAGCCAGGCGGCGTCGGGTGGTCACAGGCGCCCGAGCTTTGAAGATCCTGATTTCCTCTTTCTCTATTTTTTCAACTTTGACTTCTCCTCATGAAACCATCTACCTTGGGATCTGTGACCCACTGAAGGATGAAGTCAAGGAGGGAGGGTGAGAACAGGGAGGAATATAAGACAAAGTGCTGTCGACCTGACAGAACATTTTTCTCCAACATAGTATCATGCCCGACCAGTGCCCCCAGCCGGCAGACCCGGCCAGGCTGGAAGGGCCCTTCTCATCCTGTTGCCCTGCTGACCAATTTGGGGTTCCAGAAAAATAGCATTATTTGTGACCGCGCTAATGAGCTGCCTGGGTAAACTCCTACTCTTCCTTTTCCCTGAGACTGGGGTGGTCTTCGGGGAAAATCTGGGACATTGACGGTGGGGGCTGGGCCGCCTGTACCCATCCACCTTGTTTTGTGATGGAGCCAGCAGCCGCACAGTGTGATCCAAAGACGCCTGCTGGAAGGAAACCAGAGTCGGCTGCAGGGCGAGACTCCCGTGGTGCAGGCGCTGATTCAGGGCCAGGAGGGCCGGGGGACGGCGGGCAAGGCCGAGATTCCAGCTCTTCTGGTCAACTGCATGGTGAGTGGCCTCCCGGGTCTCCCCAAGGCCCTGCTTGTCACTAGCTCACTGTACCTACTCGCCTTCCTGGCTGGGTCGGGAGGGCAGCAGGAGGGACAGCGTCTCTCGCAGCCCGCTTCTAAAAATGGGCGCCTCTCGCTTTAAGATTTATTTATACAGAACTAGGCTACAGGGTATAGGCCAGAGGTGCAGGGGTGGTGAGAGGAGTCCCCAGAGACAGAGTGGGGAGCAGAACAGGCAGACTGGTGAAGTAAATGGCTGAGGGGAGCAGGGGTGGGTCAGGAGAGGTCTGCCGCGCCACGCGGGTCAGCTCCCTGGCCGGGGATTGAACTTGTGCTGGAGCAGCCGCGGCCACCTTCCTAGTCCTGTGCTCTAACCCATCCCGCCGCCAGCAAGGGCCCACCTCTGGCTTCTGACGATCTTCCTCTGTGCAGTTCCCTCTGCCACCGCCTTTACCTCCAGTCCTGTACTGAAGCATAATGTTCTGAAGTAGGTAAATCCTCCTCAGTGCCCCGGCACACGAAGAGCGTACACACACGCAGGGCGTCATCCTCCCGGGTTGTGCTGAAGGTGGCGGCCCTGTCACCTTGTCATTTAACCGCCGACCCACCCTGAACTGTTCCTCATCAACGCTGAGGCTCTTCTGTCTTTCCCCAGTGTCCCCCTGCCTGCGCCCCATCATTCCATTTCTATATTCTATGACTTTTTTTTTAATTCTAAGACTTTAAAAGGCCTCAGGTGTTATTACTGTCTCCTTGAAGCCGTTTCTGATTCTGCTGATAGGAAGCAGCTTTTTTCTCCTCAACATCTAAGGCACTTTGCCCACAATCCTTTCACAGGTTTGAGCCATTAACCCTTCATAGGTTAAAACTTCTACTGTCCAGTGGTCACACTTCACCTCCCTTAGTCTCCCAAAGAACAGCAGTCACAGGGGTCTAGCCACAGACCCCTGGAGAGCAGGTGCTCAAGAAATGTCTGGGGTGAGAAAGCTCCAGGCAGAGCTAGCCAAGCGGATTCGCGACTCGTGATGTGGACGAGGCTTCCTCGGCCTCAGGAGACCGACCTGTTGACCCTCTCAGGGAGAGCCTGCTCTTCTCATCCCTCCTCCCGGCCTCACCAGACTTCCCCCAGCCTCCCCCACATTCCTGTAGCAAACATACCCCCATTTCTGGCCAGACTGTTCCCAAACAACTCGACTTCCTTGTTTTGCCGCAATGTAAGAGTTCTCCTGAAATCACTTTTAAAAACTCAGTCCTCAAAAACAAACAAAAAAATCACCTTTCCACCCCACCCCTTTATTTTTACTTATTTATATTTAAAAGAGCAGGTTTACCAGGGGAAGGGACCGAAGAGTAAGGGCATTTGCAGACACAGAAGTGGGCAGGAATTGCTGCCCGGAAGGGACAGGTTTGCTGAGAGGCCTCCCAGGGCTGGGAGCGGAGAGGGCGACCCCCCGACGACTCACGACTCCCTCTGCTCTCTGTCTCAGTGTCGGGACCAGGTGCTCAGGGTGGCGGTGGACACAGGCACCCAGCACAACCAGATCTCGGCGGGATGCCTCAGCCGCCTGGGGTGAGCGCGTGTGGCCCGAGTGGGAGGGGGTGGGGCTTCTCGTGGGGCGATGAAAATACTCTGCACCACGTAGACCGTGGTGATGATGGCCCGACTGCAAGTCCTCAAGGCCACTGAATTGTACATGGGCGAAGGTGACTTCCGGCCTATGAACGCTCTCAAGGAAGCCGTTGTTAAGAGAGTGGACGGGGGTGAGGGAAGACAGGATTTAGACCCCGTGGGGCCGAGGGTTGGACGGGAGCGCCAAATGTGGAGGGGAGTCCACAGCTATGAGCTGTGTACTGGGGTGAAGGGGGGTGTGGTGGCCTTAACCCCTGTTCCCCACAGGTTAGGGGAGCGGGGGCTGAAGGCCCCAGGGGACCTGGCACCTGTGCCCCCCACGCAGGTGGAGCAGCTGGAGCTGCAGCTGGGGCAGGAGACTGTGGCGTGCTCGGCCCAGGTGGTGGGTGAGTGCCCCTCGGCGGCCGCTCCTCGCCTCTTCTGCCTCCATTTCTGTCTTATTCTAGACCTGGGGCGGGTGGGCAGACTAGGCAGCGGGCGCAGCACGGGCGCTCCGGTCTCTTTTCTTCGCCCCTGCAGATGCTGAGAGTCCGGAATTCTGTCTTGGGCTTCAGACTCTGCTGTCGCTCAAGGTAAGGTGGCTACTATACTTGCACCCACACTTGGGGCCTGACCCAAAGGGCTGGGGAAAAGAGGCAGGAGGCGCAGGCGTGGAAGTGGGGCTCAGGGTCCCATGAGGCATGGAGATGAGACATGGAGATTTCGCCTGTGCTTTCACACAGCCTGCTAGCCCACCAGTGAAAAATAAGAGCTGGGTTCCTCCCCACGGGGCCAGGCGAATGGCAGCTGAAAGGCTGGCTGGGGGGAGCTGCGTGGAGGTGAGCCCACTTTCCCCTCTACCCCACAGTGCTGCATCGACCTGGACCGCCGAGTGCTGCGGCTGCAGGCCCCGTCCCCAGAGCTGCCCTTCCTGCCTTTGTACCAAGAGCCTGGCCAGTGACTGCTGTCCGGAGCGGTCCCCAGGGGAAGGACCTTGCCTTTGGGGAGAGCCCTGAGGGGCATGGGGGTGTGACTAGTGCCAGGTAGCTGGGGACTGTCTGTCCTGACCCTGCTGTCCCCTCTCCCTCAGTTGACCACATTCTTCGCTGCTTCTCTGCAACTGCCCAAAGCCCAAGAGCTTTCACAAGAGAGGCCAAAGTTCTCAGGGTTCTGGTTTCCCTGCTCTCCCACACTCCCCTCCCCAGAACAGCAGAGCCCAATCAGGGCTGTAGACAAGGGCATATGCAAAACGGGGTTCTAGGCTGGGCCCTGGGCTTGCCAGGAAGTGGCCTGAATCAAAGGCTGCAGCTGACTGCTGTTCTCTCCCTGTCCCCCAACTCCACCCCAGACAGCCCTGTGCCCACGTCTCACTTCACCTCCCAGGGCTCGCAACTAGACTGCCACCGCTCGCCACCTGGGGTCCTGGCCTCCTGGTGCCTGCCTTTCCCAAGGTGCCCAGCCCCCCACCCGAGTAGACATGAATTCAACCCACCTAGGAAGGTGAGTTGGCGGAGGACTGGCGAGCCCCCCAGTCCGGGAGCTCCTTCATGCATTCCCTTTTCTGGGGCTGCAAACCTCTGAAATGAGTTATTCCGTGATGACCCCACACAAACCTCAGCTAGCTCATTGCTGGTCCAGATTATTTACCCTCTTTATCTGTTCTTTCACCCCTGGGTCCCTTGATTTTGGGGTGTGTGCGGAAGGGTTCCGGGGAGAACTGACTCGAGGACAGTGGGGTTGTCAGAACACAGACTGGATTAAGCAGTATTCCTCCTTATTTCTGGAACTTCCACCTCACCAGACCCTTATCTCTGGGCCTCGGAGTTTGAGCTCCTCTTGTATTGGAACCGGTGGTTTTCTATCCTCCTCCAGGCTCCGTGCCAAAGCACACAAGGAATAGTGTTTGCCTTCATGGTAAAAAAGGGAATCGAACCTTAAGGAGCCAGATTCCCTGAGTGTCTTTCTGGCCAGTTTCTCTCTCGAGTCACGCACAGATCAAGGGTAGAAGAAGCCGGCTGAGTAACTAACCTGAACTTGGGCAGCAGACCAAGCTGTGAGCCTGGAGTAGATCAGAGAACTAGGAGCAGGGCCCGCTCTCGTTGTCGGGCCTTTCCCAGCTCACGCCCCCGCCCTCGCAGGGAAGGAGGGGCTCCCTGTCACTCTGGCCCCACACTGCCGTGCTCTTGACCTCTGCTTTCCTGGGCCCCACCCTGTCCTCTCCCTCCCGCCTGTGTAGCTTCGGTAACTGCAGACCCCAGGCCCAGGGCGGGCCTCAGCTCAGCTGTTCTCCATTTGAATAAACACCTATTTCTCTATACTGAGTTCCACTGTCTGGCTTCCCACTTATCAGGAGTTGAAGATCACTCTGCCCTGATAGGCACTGTGAATAGAGACCCTCCCACATCAGGCTTACTGACAGTAGTGGCTTTCAAATGCCTTCCGGCAGTGCTTAACAGCAGGAAATAGGAGTTTACATTGTATGTCCTGTGCAAACATACACAGCAACACCCAGCAGTGCTTCCCTACGCTGTGAGCAACTCTCTGGCGTCTTCCAGTCTACTTTATTCTTTTCTATACCATTTATTGAAAAAGATGTTGATCACCATCCACCAAAGGACTGCAACCTATAATTTGAAAGACACTGATTCAGGGCACACAGTCAAGAGCAGAAGGTATAAAAGTGGTCTCAGATCTGATCTGATGTTGTGGTCTGGCTCATAAACCTGCATCAGATTTTAAACGTTTCCTGCCTTACAATGAGGTGATTTTAGGGGAGGGGGCGGGAGGAGGAGTGGGAGCAAGGCCCACGAAGCGGCAGAACATGGCAAATGAGAACGTGCTGAGCTTGTGCTTTGCAAATCATCTTGGGGTTGCTGGGAACACAGGAAGACCAGGCAGTAAACTGCTCTGAAAACTCCCTCCGAACCAAAGCTAATCGTTGGTCATTCCAGTCACAGCTACTGATGTGGCTGACTTCTGTGCCACAGCAGATGGACCTTGGGGTGGGGTGGGGCCCTTACCTCACAGTGCCGGCAGCACCAAAGCCTTGTCTCCTGGGGGTGTCAGGGCCCCCCTCAAGATCTGTATCCTCTCCTCACAAACAAGTCTGCTTTCCGGGGAGTGAGAGTGGGAGTTCTGGGTGTCGGAAAGTACCAGACGATGTGGAACAAGGTCGGGGCCCTTCCACCTGATGTGGTGGGTGAGGTACACACGGAAATGGGTAGAGGGCCAAGCTGTCTTGTCTCTACCAAAAAGCCACGAGGTTACAGCTGACAGTTCTGGAGGCGACCCCAGGGTCACTGCCATCCTGCCACGCTCCTCTGTCACGCAGAGTCCCTATCTGGCCAATAACATGATACCTCGGGGGTGGGGGGGTTTCGGAGGAATTTGCTTCAGCTAATCCCAGCTAGGTGGGATCCTGGGGGCTTGTGGGAGCACACTGTTCTAGCTGGTCCGGATGGTAGAGGGTTCGGTGAAGCAGGGTGCGTGCAGCCGGGAGGTCGTCAGGATCTGAGGGCAAGAAAGGGGCTAGTGAGAGGCCCCGGGTTTCCTGGCACTGGGCTATCCAGGTGCCAGAGGCCTGCAGCCCTGTGGGCACTCACCCACGCCCAGCTCCTCCAGCAGGCTCTGGTACTCTGGCTCCGCCTCCAGGAGTTTGAGCAGGTTGGTGGACTCCATCCGCTCCAGCTGCACCTCCCAGTACACATAGATCTTCTGGTTGAACGTGACATACACGAGGCAGGGGCTGTTGCGGCCCTCTTTGCAGGCATACAGGCCTGGAGGCGTGGGTGGGGGGACAAAGGTCGAGGTGTTTCAGTCCCAGGGGTGGGAGGTCAGAACACAGAGTCAGCGATTCTGACCCTCCCACAGAAATAAGCAGAAAACTAAAGGCCCTCTTTTTATTTCTGCTCAGCTGGGAAATAAATAAAATAGTAAAATCTGAGCCCATCCCAGATAGGGAAGAATCATAATAACAAAAGCCAGCCAGAAGAGTAGAACAGGCTGACCCACTGAAATACACTGCTGAGGGGAGCAGCGGGAGGTCAGGAGCGGTCTGCTGAGCCACGTGGGTCAGCTCCCTGGCCGGGGATAGAAATCGCTGCAGATATCTTCATAGTGCTGAGACTTAATCCCTGTGCCACCAGGGAAGCCCATAAAAGTAAACTTAAAGTTCAGATGGAGACAGCTCACTTTTACTTCTTTTTTAAGATATAATAATGGCAATCCAGTCCCCACCCATGATCCCATAATGAAGAGCTAGAGAACTCATTGGCGTATGGAGACTCCCGTGAGGGCCGCCAGAGCGGCAATGAGAGGCAGATGAGGTCAGAGGGCGGGACAGGGCCCCACCTGCACAGAAGGCGCGAATATTCTCATCCACTTGGAAGCGGACGACCGTGCGGTTGTGGTCGATGATGTACGTCTGTCCGTCCCAAGCACAGGCCACTACCTCCTCATGCCCGTTACCCTGAAAAAGGGCAGAGAGGATGCAGGGGAGCAAGATCTAGGACCAGCGGTGGATTTGGCTCTGGGAGCCAAGCAGCCGGCCAGGAAAGAAAACCACCATGTGTTTCTTATCAAACTTCTCCCCCACACCAGGCACCAATGGAGGGAGACAAACGAGCGACCTCACTAATGCTCACAACAGCCCCCGAAGCAGAAAACATCACTCCCAGTTTTATACCGAGGAAAGTACAGCTCAGGGAAACAAAGTCACTCTCCAGGACACTCAGCAGGGAGGCTGCAGGAGCAGGACTCGGCCCTGGCCTGGACGGCAGAGCGCGCTGGCTCTGCACAGCGCACCCAGGGGCCCAGCCTTGGTAAAGGCAGACCAGATAACGACGTGGGCGGTGGGACTTGGAGCCCCTTCTGGATCCTAAAGCGACTGGTTTCTCTGCGGAGGGCTGCCTGCTGCCGTAAGGTGCCAGAATGAGAGGTTTCTCAGCAGAGGGCGGTGGTAAGCCCCAGTAAGCCCCAGGGAGTCAGGGGTGACAATCTCACTTCAGGTAGAATTAGACTAGTCAAGGAGACTTCGGGCAGAGGCAGAGGGGAGGGAGAAGGGTCTGACTTAAAGCTCTTATCTCTGTGTGAAGATAAGAACACGCCCCCACCCCCAGGCTTTCCACCCACCGTGACATCCAGTTTCTCTAGGGCGAAAAGTTGGTGATCCACCTGCACCGACCACAGCAGCTTGTCTGCGTCCTCCATCAGCTTGAGTGTCCCTGCAGGTGCAGACGCAGGTGGGGCAGCTGGGCAGGACCCCCGAACGAGCCCCATGGGCACACAATCTCCCTCCAGGGATGGCCCAGGGATGACCTGGGGTACTCACCATCCAGGGTGCAGAGGGCAAAGAGGCCGGAGCCACCCCGGTCGGCGCTCTGGCCTGTGGAGGGACAGAAGGACCAGCAGGAGACACTGAAGGGGAGCTGAGATTAGGGCATGAGGGGGTGGCCAAGGGCAGGACCCTGCGCCCCTCTCCCATGAATGCACGTCAGCCCTCAGCTCCCTCTCAGGCCGCCCCACCTTCGCCTCGTTTGATGTTGCCCACGAGGTGAGTGGAGACATTCTTGTTGTGGATGCGGCCGGAGGTCTGGTGCAGCACGACGTCTCGGGCAGCTGGGCCCTCCCTGCAGCAGGAGGGTCAAGCGGGGACACAGGGACTCAGTCCCCGGGAATTTCGCAGGCCCATCTATAAGAGTTTCCAAGGTGTGAACCAGCTTGGAAACCTATTGCCGCCCCTGTCCAGCCCACGGAGCAAACAAGAAAGAGGAAGGAACTGCCCATTAGAATCTGGGAACCTCTTCCAGATGCTACAAGGTGAAAGCCCAGGGTTCCCCAAATCATCTTTCATAGGACAAAGATTGTGCCTGGACCCAGCCACAACGTTGCCAGCCACAAGTCCATTCACAGCTTTGTGTATCTCGCTTCCATGCACCCACACCATCCACAGGCTGCACCGCTTACCTACTGCCCTCTGGGGTATCCTCAGAGGTAGGGGGGTGCCCAGGGTCCTTGTTCCAGGTACACAGTAAGATTGCGTATGCACAGCCTGGCTGAGATACCATCAGTTCAGGAACACCCAGGGGCCCTGGAGTCACTGACAGACTGTCCACCTACACCAGAAAAGGGTGCTTTAAACAGTGGGGTTCTTCAGAGAACAAGGGAGACTTGGGGTCTTCCAGGTTTTGAAGGTAGAGGTCACAGGGCTCTTGCCTGGTGCCACCCTCTCGACAGAGACCATCAGCTTCCGCCTGAGCATGCCATGACTGAGGTCCCTACCCCAACACAGACGCCATCCCCTACACCTGAGATGAGCCACCTCACTAATGCTCACCACAGCCCCCTGAAGCAGAAAACATCAGCCCCAGTTTTATACCAGGGAAAGTGCAGCTCAGGGAAACAAAGTCACACCCAAGGACACTCAGCGGGGAGGCTGCAGGAGCAGGACTCACCCCAGGCCCGTCCTGGCTGACGCCAGAGCTTTGGGCCGCGCAGAGTGCACAGTGGCTCTGCACAGCAGACCCAGGGCACCAGCCTTGGTAAAGGCAGACCAGTAACAGACGTGGGTGTTGGGGTGACTAACTCACTTCTAGGCCAGACAAGTGACTTGTTTCGCACCTTATTCGTAGCCCTGTTTTCTGCCCTCAGTGCCTGTTAGTGGCGCTCTCCCCCATGGCCTCAGTTCTCAAGGAGGCCACTGTTCCCTCCTCCCACCCTGCACCCTGGCCCGCAGCTTGCCCCTCGGGGGGCCTTTCTCCTGCTCCCCGCGCTCCCTGGGTCCACACTCGGCCTCTCACCTGGCCCTCCAGCATCCACTTCTTGAGAGAGACCAGCTGGCCTGTGGGGTGCTCTGTGCTCTCTCCCAGGTCTTCCCAGCGGAAAGCACGCACCACACGGTCTGTGTAACCCACCAGCAGCTCGCAGCGCCCGTCTCCATCTGTGGGTCCAGAAAACAAGGCGCGTATGGAGCCAAGTGAGGAACCCCACAGCCCTCCCCGTGCCTCTGCTAACTCCACCGGTCAGGCTTCTCTCTGGCCGACTTCCCCCCCGCTGTGCCCGACCTGCGGGTCCTTCCTTGTGCCTGCCACTCTCTCCCGGCATGCAGAGGCCGCAGGTGCCATCACTTCTCCCCTGTGCTACTTCTCACAGCTCCCCAAGACATCAGCTCCAATCCGTAGAGCACATCCCTTGCCACCTTCAATTCTGAGCAGGTGTCAGCTACTCCAAGGGCTTCCCTGCGGAGGCCACTGAGAACTGCTCCCCTGTCTAGACACCCTCCCCCCCATTTCTGTGACTGACTGTCCCCGGGGCACTTAGGCTTCTAAAACATCGCTTAATTTTCTTACAATGTTTATATTGCATTTCCTGCCATGTTCTAGTGAAGAGCCAAGAGGGCAGAGCTTTTGGTCTGTTTTATTCACTGCTGCTATCCCAGGGCTAGAATGCTGACTGGCTTAGAATGGGATCGCAGCAACTAGACATGAAATGAGTAAGAGCTCAGGAACTCAACACTGCATGCATAACAAATGCACAAAGGAACACTGGCCACCCTCCCCTCGAGCGGTGCTCCGTTACCCACTGACCCACAGACCCACGTCCCTGCCAGCCAAGGCAGCGGTGCCCACCGATGTCGCTGATCAGCATGGCCTTGGTGTTGGCGGGCACGTGCTGCTTGAAGATCAGCCGCTGCTCCTCTCCCACGGGTGGTTCATGGTGCCCAGAGGCATCCGGGGCTTTGGTGGGTGTGAGGTCACACAAGTGAAACCAGCCTTCAGCGCTCACTGCCACCACCAGGTTCTGGGAGAGACGGGCACGGGCGAGATGGCAGGGGCAGGGAGGCCTGGGCACAAGCCCGGGAAGAGCACAGACGTCGGGAATGAAGCGACGTCTACCTGCGGATGGGGGCTGAGCTCCACTGGGCCCCAGGACCTAAGCTCTCACCTTTCCTTTATTGCAGACATCTCCAACCCCGACGCAAGTCAACTGCAAAAGAAGAAAGGAGGGCTCAGGGGGACTCTGCGAGGCCACCCGTCCTCTGCTGTCTGTGAGGCGAGAAGGGGCGGCTCCCTCCTCAGCTGCCTGCCGTCACCTGCCCTGCCCTGACAGCAGCACGTGGCCACCACTGTGCTGTAGGTGGGCTGAGCCAGCCACGTGAAGACCTAAGTAGTTAGGACAACGTGGGCTCAACGAAGCCAAACGAAAACTACATCGTAGAGTCAGACTATCCTATTTTCAGACTTAGTCAAACCACAGGTCCTATTTTCTACTGCACTTCATAAGATCAGACAAACCTGGGCAGTTTCCAAAACTGACTTTCCATGAAGTCATTCTACACATTAAATTACAAAGAAGCCTACCGTGTGCACACGGACATGTTTGTGTGTATGCGTCATGCGGGTCTGTGTGTGATGTGTCTGGTGTATGTGTTTGTGTCTGTCTGTCTGTATATTGTTTGTGTGTGTGAGTGGGTGTGTGCCCGTGTGTGGAACAGATAGGACAGCACCGTTTGGTGGCTTCTCTCTCTGAATCAAATGAATGAACTTGTGACTCACAAATCAGGACACTTGGTGAACTCCAGTGTGGGGTACACCCTTCATAGTCCTTGGACAGAGGGACCCCGCCATGCCCCCCTGAGATCCAGGGAGCTGAATACTGACCATTCCCTGGCAGGAACAGGTGAACCAGGGCCGACTGTCATCATTCTTATACACGGACAGCTTTCCATTGGTGTCGCCCACCACCAGCTCGTTCAACTTCAAACGGAGAGAGAAGAGGGTGTTAGCTGGGGCCTTCCTGTTCCCTTCTGCCCATCCTGGGAAGTCACAAGGCCTCAACTTGAATCTTCAATTTTTTAGAAAATCTTTGGGAAGCAACACAATCATAGCTCCCCAGGCCAGTGAGTGTCAGGGCCCGGGGGCCTTAGAGCACTAGGGTAGTACAGTCTAAACCCACCCTGCGAGAGCCTGCCATCTGAGCGGCCCAGCGCCCCGCATGCCTGCCTTTCGGCTCATCTAATTTGTCCATCACAAATGGGTTGAAAATAACTTTCGGAGAATGTAATGTCAGACCTCATATTTAATCCAGAGCCAAATAATAAACAGTGTTAGCCCCCCCGGGGGGGTGTCCTCCCTCCTCTAGCTGCACACATAGAGGGATGGAGGTCCCCAGGGGACAGCAAGAAGGGGTAACAGGGTGTCAGCCTCCCTGCACTGTGCCTCTGGTGCCCCCAAGTGGCAGCCAAGTTCTCAAGAGGAGAGGCTCCCTGCATGGAGCATGCCATTTCCCAAGAGACTTAATTCTGAAGGTCACAAAGACAAAACAGATCAACAGAAGGAAAAGCTAGAAATGAAGTGAGACTTACTAATAATGATGAACTTCATTTGCATCTGAGAATTACTGTAAGTTATGTGAGTTTTGGGGGGAATATTAAAACATAAAGCAAGTTAATTTAGGGATCCCCTGGTGGTGCAAGGGGTTAAAATGCAGCACTAGGAAGCTGTTCTCAGCCACTGCAGCACCAGATGGATCCCCCACCAAGGAGCTGACCCACATGGCACAGCAGACCTCTCCTGCTCGCCCTCAGCAGTGTATTTCAGTGGATCCATCTTTTCTGTTCCCCACTCTGTTTCTGGTGAATCCTCTCACCCCCCGCCCCCCACACACACCTCTGGCTTGTTCCCCAGTTCTTATATGCATACATAAATAAAATAGATTCTTTAAAAAATGCAATGAGGGTGAAGGGTCACCAAATGAGGTATACTTTGATTATTCATGTACCTGTGACTACTTTAAAAAATCTAGTTAGTGGGCCCTCCCTGGTGGCGCAGCAGGTTAAAGCACAGCACTGAGAATCTGAAGCCACTTCCGCATGAATAGGATTCCCGCCTGCCACGGAGGTGACCACAAGGTGCAGCAGACCTCTCCTGACCCGCCCGCTGCTCCCCTCAGCATGTACTTTGTCGATCTGCCTGTTCTGCTCCCCACTCTGTCCCTGGTGAATTCTCTCACCCTCCGCATCTCTAGTCTGTCCCCCAGGTCTGTAAGAATAAATAAATCTTAAAAAAAAAAAAGTTAAAAAAAAAATCTAGTTAGTGAATGAAAACTAACCACTGTTAAAGTTATAAAACTGCAAAACATAACACCAAAACCAAACAAACAAGGATAACAGAGTATCTGCCTCATAAGGTTGTCAAAGAGCTGGAGAAGCTCTTTTAAAGGGGAAAAGCTTTCAGGACACTGATTGCATAGATGAATAATGATGCCAGGGAGTTTTCTGCCTCTGGTTCAACACCTCCGAGACTAGGGCACTTAGCTCTTTATATTATTATGTTTTATATTGTATTACTCCACAAATGCCATAGCCCATAGCAGATCCTTGGCGTTTACTTAACAGACAAAAGATTATTAATTTAAAAGTTTTATTTATTTAAGCAACAGAACTGGGGTGCACGCCAGAAGTGCAGGGATGGTGAGAGGATTCACCAGAGGCAGAGTGGGGAACAGAACAGATGGATCCACTGAAATACACTGCTGAGGTGAGCAGCGGGTGGGTCAGGAGAAGTTTGCCATGCTATGTGGGTCACCTCCGGGGCTGGGAATCGAACTTGCACTGAAGTGGCTGTTGCGCCACCAGGGAGGGCCACAAAAAATATTTAAAAGACAAAAAAATCAGAATGAAAGAGGATGCCCAGACAGCCCTGCAGTTTTTCAGGTTCAGCTGGACAACCTGTTTGGGGTATAAAGATAAATGCCACAGACTGCTTTCTGAGAAGTACCTCACAATTTAACAGGAATAAAATCATAAAACAATGTGGCAAGTGCAGTGAGTGAACAGATGGGACTCAGCCAGGCAGAGAGAGGTGATGGCTGGTGGCCTGGAAGGGGACATTTCCTTTGCTACCCAGCTACTTCTCTGTGGTGGGTCCTGGCCCCGCCTTTGAAAGTCACTCGTGATACTACAGGTCACAAGCTGGAGACTGCTCCATGGGTCAAAAATGCTAAAGGAGGTGACATCTTGCTGAGACCTGCTTCTATAGGTTTTCTGTCCTGGTGGTAGCAAGGTTTAGGTCTAGGGTGGGATTTGAGTTAGTCCTAGAGGGTGTGTATTCTATTCCTGGCTTCACCCTCTGACTTATTAGCAGGAAACAAATCCATTTCCAAGAAGTTTAGGCTAATGATTCGCTAGAATAAAATAAATCTACCTTCTGCCCCAAACCTCCAAATGCAGGCCTTGGGAACCAATAAAACAATTTCTATCCACAAGTATGTACCATACTTGGTCACTCACCAGCTATTGCAATGTGTCCTTCTTTCAATTATATATACAAGTAACAAAAAACAGCCCTTCAAATCACTCTTGTACACAAAGTCATATTTGCTTTTCATAACAAGCCTCCTTTCTTCAACAAGCCTTTATGGAGTGCCTACTATGAGCCAGCACATTCAAAGTTTTGGGGACACAACAGCGAAAAAAAGAAACAAAAAGTCTATCCTCATGGAGCTTATAATAATGTAGCTTCAACTTGAGTTAAAGAAGCTAGTATAATGTACCTACTTGCAGAACTGAGTGTGTAACACTGCAACTCACTTGGAAAAGTACAATTTCCCCAAACGCTGTTGTTAATAAAGTTATGGAGATTAAAAGAAGCATTTCCTCCTTTTAAACAAAGAAGGCAAACAGATAAAATGAAAAACAATGCACATTAAAGTCACTTTGGTAATTTACTACTTAAAGATGCCTCCCTTGATTTTCTCATAAAATTGTACTGCAGGGATAGGAAGAAATGTGAAACTCCAGAAAACATAATACAAGTTTATGAGAATAACTTTTCCAGCCTAGAGGGGCTGTAGCCAAAGGAGGCCTCATAAAAATACTTTCTCCCTCACAGCACAAAGGGCACTGGGGGAGGGTATTTCGGCATTTGTTTTTTTCCAAGGGAAAAGAGAGCACAGAACAGGGAAGCGGTGAGGATGAGAACCAGGAAAGCAGAGTAGAAAGATGGGACAGGGGGTGCCAGGGCAGGGCGATAAGGTGCTTTGCCTTAAACACTGAAATAAAGCCATGCACGGAAAGATGGCGTCTGGAAGAAAAGAGCTTCTCAGCCTTGAGCATCCTTCATGCCCCACCACCCCAGAGCCCTCTCCATATTTTATTTATTTTTAAAAGATTTATTGATGCATACAGAACTGGGGTACAGGTCAGAGGGGCAGGAGTGGAGAGAGCATTCACCAGAGACAGAGTGAGGGGCAGAACAGGCCGATTGACAAAGTACACTGCTGAGTGGAGCAGCAAACAGGTCAGGAGAGGTCTGCCTCGCCATGTGGTCACCTCCGGGCCGGGGATCGAACTCATGCTGAAGTGGCTTTGGGTTCTTAGTGCAGTGCTCTAATCCACTCAGCCACTAGGGAGAGCCCTCTCCATATTTTCATCAATGCACTTCATTACACTTTGTTACTTCTGTGACTTGTCACCCAACCTCATCAGGAACTACCTGAGGGCGGAGACTATCGTGTTCATTTTGGAAGTCCCAAAATGTAAGCGTCCTCGGCGCCTATCAGCACTTCAGTCACGCTGACAACGTTGGCACTTCCAGAGGGTTCACTGCATGCCGCGCATTTCTCTACCTGCTTTACCAGTGCAGGTCCATTTGGACGAGAAAATGAATAACGGCAGCGGAAGAAAAGGTAAACGGCGTTTTTTCCCTGGCACTTCAACGCAGGTGTAGCGCTTTGAGACTACCAGGTGTCTGTCAGGTAGAGCAGACACACATTAAGATGGGGGTGGTGAGGGCATCTGGCCCCGGCCGAGGAGCACAAGCCCAGTTTGCCCGTCGGGAGGCGAGGCGGGGAAGTTCTGCGATTTATTTTTTGCGCAAAACCGGTTTTGAGGTTTTGAAAGGTAAAGTGATTTGAGAGGGGACGCCCCTGGAGGAGGGTGAACCGCAGAAGCGGTTAATCGAGAAATCCGGCCACCAGGGTTCACTAGACTCCTACTGTGAACAAGTTACTGAACTTGGGAGCCGTTCATTTATTCCCTAAGAGAATATCAGACCAAGGCATTGACTAATTCGGTCACGACACGCAGGGATCAAGCGCGCTTTCGTCGGCTCCCCCACTCCCCTCCCCGTGGGCCACCCACCCCGTCCCGCCGCCACCTCCACTGCGCATGCTCGCCGCGCACGCCGCGGGCGGCCACCCGCCCTCCCCCCGGCCCCGCCCCGGCGCAGCGCCGTCCCGGGCCGCGTCTCTCGCAGTGCGCATGCACTGACCGTATCGTTATCCACGTCTCCAAGACAGATTCCGTGCGGGAAGAGGCTCCCGCTGAACTCCAGGGCCACGCGCTGCACGTAGCTGACCGATCTCATGGCACTTCCAAGGGCCGAGGGACCGGGGAGCCCGCCAGGTGTCCCCCGAGCCCCTCCCGCCGGCCGCCCGAGCGGAAGGCCACCCAAAGCGGAAAGTGATGTCACCGCCAGAGCGTCCAATCCCGGCCTCCTTCTCTTAACCTTAGCGAGGAGGCGGGGCCTCGGGGCCCGGGGCGGGCTTACCAGCTCCTGAAGTGAGTGACAGGGGCGTGGACCACTCGTATTTCCAGAGGGCTGGGGCGCAAAGGTAGACTAACCCTGGCCCCGCCTATCGGTTCCCTTGGCAATGGGACTCTCTAGCTCTCGACCTAATAACCTTGACCTCTTCCTGTAGGCCACCTCTGAGACTCGTAGTAATCATAACTGACCGTTGTGTGATTTGCAACAGTTTAAAAAAACTGCCCGTTAGGAGTCGTGAAAACAATGTGGTGAAGTGAAGCAACATTAGACAAATACCCAAAGTAGAATAGAAAATACCAGAAAAAATAGATTTTTTAATCAATTGGGCTTTGTGGTCAATAGTTTGAAAATCACTTGCCGCAGAGCACATTTCACGTGTATTATTTCATGTAAGTAGCATAATAACGCTATGAACTTTTATTATCTGAGATTTTTTTTTTGAACGAGGAAAATAGTTTGGGTAAGATTAAGGAACAAAGTGGAAAACAGAAGAGGTGGGTGGGATTCAAATCCCAAATCCCAGATCCTTTCTTTTACTACCATAGTTCCTAGCCTCAGGCTAGAGGTCTGAGTTGCTGAGACTGGGATCTGCTCAGTCTCCTTGAGCCCCATTTCACTCCCTCCCTAGCCTAAAGCTCTTGCCTCCCTCTCAGTGGCCTTACTCTGTCACATAAATGGGACTGACTCACCCACCATGGCTGGGCTTCACGTTGAATCGAGTCCAATCGTCTTCGGGTGCCTGATTAGTCAGGGCATAGAAGTATGATTTATGGCATCCTGCAGGTGCACAATGCATTTTTAGCGGTAGGTCTGCAGGCTGGGCTCTTTCTCTTAATGACCTTTCAGGGATCAACATTGTAAAAACACAGGTATCTATCTTGCCTAGGGAGGTTGAGCCTGGACTGGTCTTTACAAGTCTGAACATAATGGGAGAAGGCCCTGCAGTACAGGGCCTCTTTGCTTGGGTGTAGGAAAGTGGGGTGGCAGGCCTTTTCCTAGGTGTCCCAATGGATCTGACAGAGGAAAAGGAACAGCACAGCAGAACAACAAACAGCAGGCCTCCTGGGCAAATACCTCAGATACACTAGTTTCTGTTCCCAGTGGTGTACTGTGGGGTTGGCCAGGTTTATTCAAAGGCTCTGGGTCACACAGAGCTACCTGACGCTTTAAATACTGTTCTCACGGAGAAAAGTGTGTCATCTCACCCAGCTCCACCACGTCTCCGTTCTCTCAAAGACTAAGCTTCAGATTAGGTTTTAAGGGATGGGAATACGATACTTAAAAAATATGTTTAAGTGGAAAGTCAAATAGTTTTGAATGGCTTCCTTTCACTATTTCTTCAGGAGATGACAGTCACCCTGCTTCTGTCACTGAGTGCCTAACCCAGTTCTCTGAAATCATGTCCTGACCCAACACTCCACAATGCCGTAGTCTTGTCTTCCTCAGCACTTGGGTTCTTGTTCTTGACTTTAATGTGTCAAAGGGTGACTTTCTTGTGTTGTTAGCCATGAAGATAATGTATCATCATGACTTGGGAGATCATACATTCTGGCTTTTTTTAGGAGAGCCAAGTTAAGAAAAGGAGGGAAAATGTCTCTGCATTGACTACCTCCATACCTGTCCCCACCTTGCATCAGTTACTTTAAGTGTATGGAATGTTGTTGCAACCCATGATGTGCAACACAGGATGAGGCTGTTCAGAACCATGCTGCACACCCGACTCCACAAGAACCTGTTCTTGGCCCTGGCACTTAGTGTGGTTGGTGGGTCTCTATTGGCACCCCCTAGAACCTGCCTCAAGCCATGCACCCTTTCAGCATGGGTTTTGACTTGCTCCTCAGAACTGCCTAACTAGGTCATCTGCAGGTTAGATGGCATGGATATAGCTGTGTGGGTGGGGATCCTTTCCAACCCAGCCCAACAATAGCATCAATAGAAACCTGCAATAAGAAGAGGTGGGGAGGAGGAGTGTTAAGTGGAATGGTTCCTAGGGAGTCTTTTTCCACATCTTGAGAGTCTACAATGCCCTGCCCGAATTCTGTTTGCCTAGGATGCCCAGGTAGGACACAGGACCTTTAAAACTCTTTCCACACACAAGGTTCACAGCTACTCAGCATCCTGCAGGCAGGACTGAGGGCTTCCTCATGGTTCAGTTCCTCACTCCCTCCCCTCTTCAATTCCCAGTACACCTTAACCTACTCAAGCTTCTGTAAGCCAGGAAGTACAGAAACATGGTTCTCAGAAGCGCTTGACTGGGACCTTGGCAGAACAGTGGTGTGCACAATCAGCTCAAATAGTGGGGGTGCTCAGAACTCTATTGAGTCCCACCCCTGGGATTTGGCCCTATCAGAACCACTGCTCTGGGACCTGTCAGGGTTAAAACTGAAGTACTTGTCACATGTGGAAATGGTCTTACAACACAGGGATGATGAGAACCCTTCAAACTAGAATTGATGGTTGCCCAACATTTCAAGTGGGTTAGATGCCACTGAACTGTTCACTGGAGGATGCTTAGTTTTGTGACATGAATTCCTCTTTCGTCAAAGAGGGGTACCATTTTCAAATGGTGGGAGGAGCCTGGAGCTCTGAGGAACACACATTGAGGGTGGGGGACAGAGTATGGCTGGACCTCTAGTCAGGAACTCTTCTAACTGCATGAAGGCGTTGCTTTTTTGGGACCTTTCCTCGTTAGCACCTTTGTGAATCACTCTTACACTGCCTCACAGATGAGTGTACTTAGGGTTATTTACTGCACACCAATATGTTCTGATTCTTGGATTGTGTAACTGAGGACAATTAATACACCCAAGTCATCTAAGGCTGGTGACTGGAAAACTACAGCCGTCAGGGCCCTCCCTGGTGGCGCAGTGGGTTAAAACACAGCACTAAGCAGCTAAAGCCACCTCCCCATGAGTTCAATCCCTGCTCCGGAGGTGACCCACATGGCGCGGCAGACCTCTCTGACCTGCCCGCTGCTCCCCTCAGCAGTGTACTTCATCAGTTGACCTGTTCTGCTCCTCACTCTGTCTCTGGTGAATCCTCACTGCCCCTGTACCTCTGGCCTGCACCCCAGTTCTGTATGCATAAATAAATCTTTAAAAAAAACCTACAGCTGTCAAATCAGTAGTGGTAATTTGCTGAGAGGAAGTTTATCCGACTTTTACATTGGCCTGACACAGTGCTGTCCCTGGCCTACATCATTCTGATCGAAGGGCCACTAGGCTGAGGTGTTCTGCATCAGGAAGGGAAGAACAGCACTAAGACAGGTGGGGGTGAAAAGTCCTAAAAAATGTATTTTCCCATCTTGCTTAGAATTGTTTCCCCAGTTGGTATGAAATACTGGCCTATACCCCAGTTCTTGTATGCATAAAGCTTAAAAAAAAAATACACAGCTCACACCCAGCCAGCAATTACTGAGGGGGTGTAGCCAGTAGAGACAAACACATTCATACTGGTAAGGCAGGCTGGGCCAGGCCTCCAGGGCTTTGTGGGTCACAAGTGACTGGAAAGGCTGAAGCAGGTAGACTGGGAAGCGGGGCTGCGTGGACCACATCTCAGTGAGGCCGAGAGCCCAAGGCAGAGCCCACTGTGGTGGAGGAGGGAGGGAGTACCTGAGATACAATTTATGCACTTCTTGTTCCTATCAGCACTGACTCAAGGCAGGTCATTTTAATTCTTCCAGAGACCACTGGCTGCTATTAGCTTCCTCTCTCCACATGGAAAGCTGTGTTGGGGAGGAAGGTGCAGCTAACTGGGAATTAACGTGATCACTGACCCAGACAGGAATAGGTGGTGGGTTTATTTTGAACCTCACAGCCACTTTAATGAGACACCCTCACAAGACACTTTAATGTTACATAAACCCAGGCTCGTCCAGCCCCAGGCTTCCACACCAGCTCTTGGCTGGATGCCGCCCTTCCCTTAATTGTGTAAAAGGTGCCGGGCAGGGAACAACACTCGGTACTCTACCCTAAGAAACCAAGAAAGTCGAGCAGACGAATCTCACCGGCAGTGTCTGAGGCATCCTTTCCTCTTCCTAAACGTGAGGGAAGAAAACCACCAGGCTCCTGGGGCGGGGGTGCCGCAGAGGGCCGAGGCCCGAGGGCTGTCCACCGGGCGCCCCCGTGAGTGGCGCCACCATGTGCGTGTCAGCATGAAGGTCTCCCGGGGCGAGACAGCGACTCCCTCAACCTCACCCTTGTGCATAGTCCCTACCACACCCACCCTCTGAAGACCCCACAGAAAGGGCTGCTTGACACCCAGATTATTGTTTCCACTTTATTGCTCAAGCATGGAACTTGAGGCTGACCTGGACCTTCGGCGACATGAAAGAGGAGGCTGAGGGAGTGGGGACACAACCCGGCTGAGAAAGGAAACTAACAGGGAGAAGGTGGAAAGAGGGTGCAGGGGTCACCAGGATACCAGAAGACGGCCACACCACCGGGGGTGAGGACGGGCAGAGGCGGGCAGTGTTTCCTACACCCCTAGCACCCACACAGAGGCCACGCGAGGAGAGGGGCTGGGAGGAGGCAGGGGTGAGGGAAGCGGCTGCCCAGGAGGCGCCCTCTCCACCCTGGCTGCACGTCAGACCCGCGGCCCTACCACTCGTCCCCTTCGACCACTGCAACATGGACACAGCGAACAGAGGAAGCAAAATAAATTAACATTCTGATGAGTGTGTGTATGTGGGTGGACATTCGATCGACACATGTAATGGGGGAGGGGAAGAGGGGGTGACACCATCTAAAATGATCCCCCACCTCAGTCCCCCAGCCTACTCCTTTCCCCCCTTCCCCCAAAGCCACCATTCAACCAGATAGAAAAATAAAGGTCTAATTCGCTCAAAATTCTTCAATTTTTACAAAACTAACAGGGTGGAGCAGGGTAGGGTGGGGAGCGGGGAGGCAGGCAGGCAGCCTCGGGAGGGCCCGGAGAGAAGCTACGCTTCCGCTTCCACCTGAGACTGGCTCCCCGCCAGGGGCTTCGGCTCCTTCATCTCGGCGTCAGCAAGGCGGTCTCCGGCAGCTACTGTAGCCTTGGCCTGTGAGGACAGGGACGGAGGAGGTGAGTTCCATTCTCACCGGTCCAATCCCGCTGACCGGAAAGGTCACCTTTCCTCCGGGTCCTCATACCACCTAGCACACCAGCACCGCCCGTGTTCACAAACACTCATCCCCGCAAGTGAAAACCGCAGGCGTTCACCGCCAGCGTTATGCGGACGCAGCAATGTCCCTCCAGATGCCCTGGAGAGACGCACGTGGTTGCAGACACAGACGAAGGGATGAAGAACTCAGCACTGCGGTGCTGTTCCCAACCCAACTTGCCCGACGTGGGAAGTGACCCCACCTGTGGCCGAGGGCACTTCACGCGTGACTAGTTCAAACCTACCTGTCTCGAGTGTAGAATACACTGGATTTTAAAGTCAGTCTGAGAGGAATATGCCGAGGGCAGCTCTGACAGAGCGGGAAAGCCCTTTTCTATGCTGATGTAAAAAAAGCGCAGCAGAAAGGAACAGAGCATGTTGCCTGTCATTAGGGCAGAGGGAGAAAACCTGTCTGCTTGTGTCATATATAGAATACACTGAAATGACACAAGCCTGAATTATCAGCTGCTTCTCAGTAGAGACTAAATGTTCTTTTGTGTAGTTTCAATTTTAACTATGGTAACGCGGTAGCTGTTCAAATGTAGGTTTTACACACACAGATATGTGTTTAAAAAGACAGAGAATGCAATTTGGGATGCACCCTCACAGGAGCTAACTCCCGACCTTCAGGCCTGCCGGGACGCTTCCAGTCCCAAGCAGAATCCTGCTGGGAGTTTCCTGTGTTAACAGACAGGCTGGTGCTCCCGGGACCAGGACCCTACATGGTTACCAGGAGCGGCGGGTCACCAGCAGCGAAGTGTCCACACTAGTGGGATTGTCTACCCAGCAGCCCCCTCTGACTCCTCACCTTGCTTTCCTCCTCAGCCAGCCTCTCAAACATGTTGGCATACAGCTTCTTCTCCCGGGCAAGCTGCTTGCGGATCCGCTGCTGGCAAACAGCCAGCTGGGCCTTGGCGGCTTTGTTGTTGGGGTAGAGCTGCAGGACCTTCTGGAAGTCAGCTCTTGCCAAGTCAAAGTCACTCACTGCCAGGTAGGCCTCTCCCCTGCGGAAAAGGCCCTTCTCATTGTTGCTGTCCAGTTCCAGAGCCTAAGGATGCAGGAGGAAGTAACAGTGAGACCTCACCAGTGCTCACTGGCCAAGACTGGGTCCCACAGGTACCGTCTGCAAGGTGAGGCAGAGTGGAAGCAGCTGTTTCCACTCTAGAAAGAGTAAGTCTGGGCCACCAAACAGAAAGAAGCAAGGTCTAGGGAAGAACACTATTGCGTTCACGAGGCAGTTTCAAGCCTGGATCCTTTAAGTAGATGGCAAGGGCCTGTGGTGACATTGACATTCTCTTTAGGAAAAAACATGCACATAAAAGAAGCTAAGAACCAGGGGAGAGAAAACTCAGAAGTGGTCTTCTCCTGTGTGGCCTTCTGCAGCCATGTCAACGCCCTCCCAGTCAAAGCCTAGGTACTTGCTTCTCACATCCTGGCCTTTCATCTCAGAGTTGCCCCTGGCACACCCTGCCACCCTTCCCCTAGTCACAGAAGACAAGTTTCAGACATGCCCAGAGCTCACCAACGCTGCCCAAAAATGCTGCCCTCTCTAGGGGGCCCTCACCTTGTTACAGCTCTCGATAGCAGCCGAGAAGGCCTGCAGTTTCAGATGACACATGGCCAGGTTGAGGTGGGAGGCCAGCCGGAGGGACTGTGCCTTCTGTGCATCCTCCTTAGACAAACTCGACTCATATTCCAGCCAGGACACAATCTTCTTGTACTGAAGTAGCGCTTGCTTATACTTGCCTTCCTAGAACGGGAGGGAGGCTCAGGCGCCTGCACCATTTCAGCAGCACTAGGCTGTCCTGCTGTAGCCATCAGTGTTCCTGGGGCCTCACAGAAGCCCCCTGTACCCCCGTGACAGACCACCTAGCTTAGATATGCCAGATGAAGACTAAAGGTGTCAATCTGTCCATGACCTGGCAGAAAATGGCCTCAGTCTGGGGGGCGGGGCGCCCAGAGCAATCCTCCTGCGGCACGGCTCTGGCTCACCTTGAAGTACACAGTGCCCCGCTCTTTCACCATGGTGCTCTGCTCCAGCTTCTCCTCTGCATTCATCTCCCATGACTCCTTGGCCTGCCACATCCCAAGGGAGAAACAAAGCTGTCAGCTACCCAAGTGTCCCCTGCAAGATGGGACCTGATCTTTAGCACAGAGACCGTGAACAGACTCACCTTATCAAAATTCTTGAGGTGTATTTCGTATTTCAGCTCAGCCTGTGGTGGGATTTGGAACTTTTCCTTCCCAAAATTGCCAAAAGCATAACTGTGGGGGCAGAAAAGCTCTCGGTCAGCCCCGCAGCACTCGCCTGCTCCATGCTGAAACTACATCCTCTGGCCTTTCCTGGATGGCCCTCCAGCCCAAGCCCCATTCTTCCCTCGGCTCCCAGACCATCTTCTGGGAAATAGCTCCCTGTTCCCTTTGAGACTTGGTTAAAACATTTCTTGTTTGGCAAAGTCTCCCTTGGTCTTTTTCACTTTGATCTCGTAGCATCTTAACACGTCCCTGTAATACCTCATGCGACACACTGGCATGATTACTGATGTAAATGGTCTGAGTCACTGGAAGGAACGAACAATGGCTCTGAATACCCAGGAATTTCCAGTACCGTGTCTGACACAGAAGAGTGTCTCAATAAGTCAACAGTGATTAAAAGAATGAATGGGAGATGGAAATCTCGATGCTGGTAGAGAAGGGATTCTCTAACAGCCATGACTAGAAAGGTCAGGCTTTGATCCAAGGACCCAACTACGGTACAATGAGCGCGCGTAACGGCACGTGTTTGCTGTGCCCAGAGGCACGGTGAGCAATCCCGAGCACACGGTCTGAGGACGTCTGTGGGAGTAGTGAGCAACCAGCATGGCAAAGACTCGCATAGACGGCTCTACAACGCACTGCACGTGTTTGTGTCTGACTCCCCTTTACCCACCTGCTCTACCAAGTGCCTTGCTCCTACCTGGGCTTGAGGTACACAATGGACTGTTCTCCTTTCTCCATGCGCTGAATGACTTTCTCCAGCCCACAAGGCAGATCCAGACTCTCCCCCTCGCCAATCTCAAAGCGGAGCTCCCGCCGGTCAAAGATCTGATCTTTGTAGTACCCTTCCAGTGCGACTGGCATGAAAGAGGGCAGTGCACCAGGGGTGTGAGTGGGCAGGTGGCTGAGGAGGTCTCTCTGTCTTCCTCATCCCCGCCCCTCATCAATTCCTGCCCCCTAGGATGCCCTCCGGGAGATCTCAGACAGAGAGGTATGAAGAGGGCATAGCCCAACCTCACTCTGTAGACAAGAGGAAAGTCAGAGAAAGGATGTGATGTGACACAGCCAAAGTCAAAGCCACCCAAGAGCTAAGTATCAGAGCCCAAACGCAAAACTCACCCTCCACCATAGCGCCATCATTGGGCCTGGCATAGCCTTCACCCTTAACCCGTATTCTCCGGATGATTCCACCATCTTCCTCATCTGTCAGATCCTCGCCCTTGAACTCAAACAACTCCACCTACAGAACAAGACACAGGTGACACAACTCCTTTCCCACTACCTCATCACGAGTGACCAGAGAGCAGGCTTTGACCTAAGGAGATAGCTCTGCTGTAACCACACTGCTACATACAGTGGAGAGATCACAGACACTTGTGCTAAGTTCTTGGAAGCTGCCCTAGACTCTCAACTTTGCTAGAAACGGGGAGGCCATATGAACCTGAGTTAACTCCAGAAGATCAACCTATTCCTCCTAGTAAGAACACGTTCCAGACAACCCCAAGCAACTGCCTGCCTTCAAAGCCCAAGGCACTGGGCATCAGGAATGACATGCCCCCTCAGCATGCTGCGGGAACCCACTTACTGGGTCTTGACATTTTCAGACCGAACCCTGCAAGTTCCACTTCCTTCACTTTCTTCACCTCCCTGACCCGTGGGAGAGGCTTCTCCTCCTCTCTTCTGGCCTTTAGAGTACAAATATTCCACGCTGTCACTTATAACTATGCAGAGGTTCTGAGTTAAAATTACAATCACTCTTCTGCCTGGGCGCTGAGCTTGAGATGAACATGCCTCAACCCTTACACAGCTTTCAGTCAGAAGAGGGATGGCTCATGGCCACCTCTTCCCACCTGAAAACCCCTCTGGGCCACTCTCTTGCTAACAGCAAGCTAAGTGCACAGCAGAACCACCGGCCTGCTACATTTCACTTCCTCCCCTAGAGCCAGGCCCTTAGCCTTGGCTACATTGTCTCCAAGCGGCAGGAAGGGCTGGAGAGCAGCCAGACCCTCGGTAGAGACCAGGCCTGGCTCGCTGCCCCAAGCTCTGCGGCGGACGCGCACCTCAAACACAAGTGTAGCGTTGGGGGGGATCTTCGGAGGGCTGCCTGCTGAGCCGTAGGCGTATTCTGGTTTGCAGGTGATGTGGCACACTTCTCCCACCTTCATGGTTGCTACAGCAATGTCCCAAGCTTTGATGACCTCCCCTGTGGACACAGAAAACAAACAGGTCCTCCTTGGCAGGGAGCTGGCAGTGGCCCTAAAAAGGCCCACGGGGAAGCTGGACATGGGGTCAGGAAGGTAGGAAACCTGGCTACAGTTAAGTCCTGTCAGTCAAGTCTCAGAACTTAGCAAATCAATCCATCAAGCAACTCTGGGACAGAGGAACAAAGCAGCCACTCCTGGAAAGGAAGTGAGGCACTTAAAAGGGATCACAGAAAGCAGATACATCAGAAGAAAAAAAAGAGAAACAGGCTGTAGTAAACCATTCCTTCTTCTGTTTGGTGCTGAGGATATAGTTTCAGCTGTGACATCTTTCTTGAAGTCTAACCTACAACCCCCCGCTAACCATGCCTACCTTTTCCCAGATCAAAAGAGAATTTGTCTTTGGAGTCCAAACTGGAGTCAAATTTGGTGCCATCTAACAGCCAGCCAGTGTAGTGGACAAAGACTCGGTCCCCAATCATGGGCATCTCCACACCTGTGCCCTCTCGCTTGATGACCTGGGAAAAAGGTGGAGAAGGTGAGTGTATGCAGGGGTGGAGCAAAAAAGGACCCCCAAACTGCCTGCATGCCTCTGATGGGAAATTATGGACTCTTCCTTCTGTTTCCTTATAAGTGGACTCCAGGCAGGCTGATTCTCAAATGATTTTGATCTCAAGCTTAGCTGGAAGCTAAATGATCTTTTTGGAGGTTTGAAAAACAGGACCCTCCCCCCCAAAATAAGTTCAAGTTCTTCCTGCATGATCATGGATAAGCCACTTAAACTCCCTAGGTCCCTAGTGATAACCCCTTTCTCTTATTAGACGGACGAATTGGTCAAAGACTGAACAGAAGATTATTACCACCAGCAAAGGGATAAGTTGTTTTTTTTATTAAAAAGTTTATTTTTACATCATTTTGCACATTTTTTTTTTCATCTCAATTGTAATCCCCACGGGTTTCCCATCACCAAATCACCCAAAGGGATAAGTTTTTAAGTTTTTACGCTACATTTCCTCATTCTTCCCAAATGCCCACGGGCATCAGATCAAAGGTTGGCTTACAGATAAGGAGTATGAATAAGGAACCAAAAGCAGGTTACAGATGAGCACAGGGTAATCAGACCCTAACCTCGAGTCAGGACTGGTAGGCTAGTCCTTAGATCAGTATCAGGGCGGCTATTTCCCAGGACCTTCCCAGCCTGCCTCTCCTCCTAAGCACTTACACAAGGTCACTTCAGGGACCCCTTGGTGTTGTGTGGCTGCCCTGAAGGGAAAGCTTGGTGGTAAGAATGGACAGGGAGTCTAAGAGTGTAATACAGGGGAAAGAGGACAACCGGGAGATGACCCTTCCTGGAACAGCCTTGTAGAACCATGGTGCGAGAAGGGGCAGCTACATGCCCACTGAGAGAGCGGTTTGAGATTCCAGGATCTGGGGCAAAGCCAGATGCATTTCTGGAACAAGTAAGGGCTCATCCAGGTCTTTGGCTTTGCCCGGGTGATGCACACACGTGGAGCAGAGCAGTGGGAAGCCAGGATGAGAAGCAACCCTGTCTGGCAACAGTGCACGAGCCCGGTCTGGGATTTTGTCCCCCTGGGGCCCTTCTGCGCTGACCCCATAGTTGGTGTCCCTGCCCGGAGTCGAGACGCCAGTCAAGTCTTGGATTCCCTGCTCCTAACAACACGAGCTTAGTCGTTAGCTGGTCACACAAATGGAGCACTTCTTCCCGGCGGGGCACCCCGAAGCCCAACTCAAGAAGCGCCCGGTGGAGGGTTGGGGCAGAAGAAGAGCGCGATGCGCGCGGAACTACAGGTCCCGGCATGCACCGCCGCTCGGTTTTCCCGGGGCTGGGGGGAGGGGGACGGCGTGGCTGAGCGGGTGACCTAGCTCAGTCCCAGCCTTTGGAGAGGGGCTAACGAAGCCCCAGGGCCGGAGCGCCGACTCCGGCCAGCAGACTCGGGCGCCAAGTTGCACAAAGGCCTCCAGGCCAGGAAATGACTCTTAAGACCCGCTCCGCGTCCTGGCTAATGTTTAACTGTCAGGGGTGGGCGAACTCTCGCACCGCCACCGACCAAG